GGATGACTGTATCGAATAGTTTCTAAGGAAACTACTGCTGAGAGGATGTACGAGGTAAAATTTCTATGGCAAGCCTACGTGTGTGTGTATATTTAAGTGAGTTCAATCTTCGTAATAGAAAAATTAATGTGTGTTGCTATATTTAAGAGTGCAGGATAATTCCTTTGGTGTGTTTTTTTGTCACCAAAATCACGTAGATGAAGTAGAATAGTATTGTCAGTGTCTTTTTCCACAACCTGGATTGTCTTAACTCTTTTCTGCTACATTCGTTGCATGAATTCCTAGGAGAGAGATGTAGCTACAAGTGCATAAGGTATGGCTGGTAGTTTTTATTTTTTCCTTTGGGTCTTTAGACTCACAGAGGCAAATAATTTTTTTTTTCTTTCTCTAAGGTTACTTTTGCAGCTTTCCATAACTGCTCTATGCAATACAGTGTGAATATCAGCTTATAGTTAAGGGTTTTTTTTAAACTCTGCTATGAAATGCTGTATTAGCCTGGATGTTGCTAATGTGTCAAAGCAAGCATGGAATTCATGTATTGTCTGAGTGTTTTGAGTGATTGAGGCTCGTCTAACCAGGCTGGCAGTGTAAATCCTACATGTAGAATACATCAGTGTTTATATTTTAATGTTGGAATGCACGTCTGTCAGCTAAGCTGAGAAATTACCTAAGAAGTGGAGTTGGAAGAGGGGCTCTGTCCAGCAAAAAGAAGACTTGAGCTGATGGAAACTGTCCTGTGAACATTCTTCTTGCTGCCTTTATCCATCTTCCACCTTGTTGAATTGTTTCTGTGCTCTGTGCTGTGGAGCTGTTACAACCGAGAGAGTCCTGCGCTGTTTCCAACACAGCGATGAGGTTGTGGTTCTCATTTGTTGATTATAACGGGCTTTGAATTTGTTTTTTGATGCCTTTATCAAAATGGCAGCTTATATAATTGTCTGTTAAATATGACTGCTATAGAGTAGCCTATTTATGTAGGTGGGTTGAAGGCAATCATACTGCTATTTTTATGTCTATTATAATCATACATACTCTTCAAAATCAATACGAGAAGTAATCCATGAACTTTTCTCATTGTAGAGGCCTGTGCTAATGGCATCAAACACTACCAAATTGGCATTTCAGCTCCTCTTTGTAAAGGATGTTCTTGTTTCTTTTGGGATCATACTGTCCCTTTTCCATTGTGGAAATAAGAGCATTCTGTGGCTGTTCAGTACAATCCAGCAGTCCAACAGCAGCTGGATGCAGATGCTCATAGGGGCATAGATGTTCAGAAGGAGATGCTCATAGAACTTTTTGTGAAGCAAATTGATTAAATACCAGCTCACACCGTTATGTTTTCTACTTTTTTCTTATTTATATTTTTAAGAAGTAATCACATAGAACAGGTATTGTAAATATCTATATAAAATCTCTTCTTGTTGCATTCATGGTACTTTATCATGAATCCCTGCTCGTAGCATAGGAAACTGTATACTGTTAGAAGCCTTGATTTTTTTTTTTTATTTATTTATTTTTTTTTTACCTTATGTTCTAGTGTTTGTTTTGTATCATTCTCTTACAGAATTCCATTCTGCCTTCTCTGCCACTTAATTCTGAGAGCTTTTAAGGCATGGGGTTTTTTTTTTGTTTGAATTTGAAATTAATCCTACATCTTTAATTCCAGGTTAGAAGTTATTTTTCACTGTCATTACCTTCATTACTTACTTCTTAAACACTTTTGCCCAATATATGTAGTTTTTTTTCAGGTTTCTTGAATCAAATGTGGGCCAGTATTTCAAATAAGACCATGTTATTGATTTTGTGTGCTCTACTTATGTATTTTCAGAATTACTTTGTACCACTTGTGTTGTTAAACAGCTCGAGTGTTTTTCCAGCTGCTTTTAAATTCCTCAGCAGATGTTTTCAGTAAGTAGTTGAATGTATTATCTGTTCTTTTCCATTCAGACTTTTAAACTTCTGCACTCGAGTAACTCTATGTGAGAAGTTCAAATTGGTTTCCTTTACCTGTATTTGTCAACGCGTTGCCTTGCTTCCTTTCTCAGAAGTTCAATATAACTTCGTAGTGGGGGGAAGGAGGAATGGAGGACGTTTGCTATTTAGTTCTGAAATTATTCTGAGTCCAAGGAATTTAATGCTGATTTACTTCAGACTAATGGTGCTGTGTTGATGCTTTAAAAATCGTTCTTTAAGTACACTTCTTTCCATGTTTAATAATGGATTATATATATGAGAGGAGTAAATATATAGCTTGGAACAGCAAGCTGTATTGATATTTGTTTTCCTTTCTTCTAGGCCTACTATGAGACAGTAGTGTTCTCTTGCATAAGCGTCACTGGCGAGGGATCATAATGCTGGAAGCTTTGCTCTTGTTCAGATTTCTCCCTGCTCCAGATTTTCATTGCATAATCTTCTTGCCATAGACCTTGAGGCCAAAATACGCAGTTTTCTTATTCATCATGCGGCTGTGACTCAATTACATGCATTGTGACATCTAGCATATAAATGTCAAGAAATATGCTCATTTCTGAGATGCATGTCCTGTTTATGAAAATGTCCCCCTTTGTTTTGAAGCTAATATAAAATCCAGGTTCCTTTTAAAATAAGTAAAAACAACAGCAACAAGAACACCTACATGCTGCCTTTCCCAAATCTTCCACGCTTGAGTAGTCACATCTTCTTGGATGGCAGCAATTACTGGTATCTGCACTTCTGAAAATTATTTTCTTCTGCATTGCTGGTGCCATTGGCTCTGATTACTTGAGTAATTGTTCTTCTGTTGCAAATAGATCGTGGTTAGTGTTTTAGTGGACCTGTAAGTAATGTAGTCAGAGTTGGCGCATTTTTGTTTCAAATGTAAGTGAAGCACGTGCTCTGTGATGACAGAAGTTGATTAAACTCTTTCTCATTTCCATCACAGTACAATTAAAAAGTTTTTCAGTAGTTACCTATGTGGATTCTTATTTTTAAGTTATTTGTGCACAGTATGAGCTAATTTGGAGAATGCTTTAGCTTAGTATAATGCTGTTTAGATCCCAGCTGTAATTGCAGAGGTGACTTCCTTTCAGAGCAGAATGTTGTAGCTTCAGTGTTGAAGGTTCCAGGTCTGATGATTAAGAAGCCATAGTCTCATCCTGACTCTTTTTATGCTGAATAAACCAATTCAGGAGAAGATGATAACAACCATAAGTGCTTTTATGGGAAGCTTTTCAGTAATTAATTTTTATGTTTGGTTTTAGCATTGAGTGACTGTGTTCCCATCTAGAACTTTTCTGCTTTAATGGGATTTCAGACTTGCTTGTTTGTGTGGTATTAAAGGAATGTGAACAGTCAGTCTCTGTATCAAAATATTTGAGTGTATTCAGTTACTGGTGTTACTAACAACTAAATCTGTGATTAGTTGTTATGATTCCTGCTTAAGAACTTTTGAGTAATGGTAGGAGAAGAACTAGTTCTTTTAAAGCAAATATGTTTGCTTTGGGAGAGACGTGAACACTTTGGAAATGAAATTCAGTACTCTTAGTTGAGGCTGCTTACCTTTGAATAAATATGCACTGGATTTAATGCAGTTGAACCAGTTTATTTTAGAGACACACCTCCGTGGTGTCTGATATATTTATTTTTCTGCAAATCTTAGATTGTGCACGGCAAGCCTAGAAGTGAATATAACTATGAGGCAGGCTTTACAGATATTGGTGTGAAAATCCCAAAGCATGTCTGCATGTCAGATAGAGACAGCCACACAACTGCTCTGCATGTGTTCTTTTCTGGACAGTGGCAGAGTGTGCCTGGTGCAACCTGGCTGGTGCCTGAGCAGAATGGGGAAGTTCCTGCTGCTCCACCAGGGCAACTTGGCTCTAGGCTGGGGACAGTGGGGGGAGGGATGGCCACCGGGCACTGAGCTTATGCTCATTGCTCATGTAGGGAGTCAGAGCTGTAAATGTGTCCTGACTAACTTGAATTTTTGTACAAGTTCTTACAATTGTTTGTAACATCCAGGTCATTTGAAGGGAAAAGCTGGTTTGTCCTAAAGCTGAACTAGCATAGTAATCCTAGCTGAAACAGGTGTGGACTATGTCTGAAATGATACAGCAGAACTGCTTGTCTGCATCCGTTTTAAGTCATATGAGCAAAGCAAGTCTTAACATCTGAAGAAGTCTTCTGAGAGAAATGCAGATGTAGCTTTGGAGAAACAAATGGTTTGTGTTTACATTTTCTTGCAAGTGTGTTTGTGAGAGTGGCATGTAGATTAAGTGCTTTACATCCTGGGGTATAGTTTATATTATTAGTCTTCAATGTACACTGTTAAAAATGGTCTGAAAGGATCAGAACAACCAGCTTTATTTATTATATAAGAACCACTTTGAGGTAATGTAGGAAATTTTCAGTGAGTGAAAAAGGATAGACCATACAGTAGAAATGGCAAAAAAAAAAAAAAAAAATGTTATGTAAAGCTATTTTTTTCCCCGTTCTTTTAAGACAAATAAATACACAAAACACGTTGTACTTTTATACTTAATGTAAAACTGTTAAAATCTTACCCTATTGCATATAGAGTTTCATACTGACATTATTTTTGCAGGACATGGCATAAGCTCTGTTTCAGCAGTCACTTTCAAGACAGCTCCTGCCTTCAGGCAGCAGGCATGGCCGTGGTTGTAAAGCTGATGTACATTGAAATAGTTCCCCCAAACAGGGCTTGCTTAAAGGTCAGTTGTATGGTGCAAACTCTGGAGCAAAAATATGTATGATACTGATGGGGAAGATGGACATTTCCTTTTTCATAGAATCTAGCCACTAGATGAGCTTAGGCTATCATATGAGATTGCACCTGAATTTTGACCCTTGCAAAGCTTACAAAGCTTTTCAGCTTAGTGCGAGCTGTTTTGCAAAAAAGCTATTGTGGGATTTTCTGTTAGGCTAAATAGACATGGAATGAATCATGCAATGGTTTAGATTAGAAGAGGCCCTAAAGACCTGGTTTGTACTGTCTATTGCAGGCAAGAACACCTTCCACTAGATCAGGTTGTCCAGGGCCCCAACCAACATGGTCTTGGATACTTCCCGTTATGAAACATCTACAGCTTCTCTGGGGAGCCTGTTCCAGTGTTTCATCACTCTCTGAGTAAAGAATTTCTTCCTAATATCCAATGTAAATATCCCGTCTTTTAGTTTAAAGCCACCTCCCTTTGTTCTATCACTACATTCCCTGATAAAGAGTTCCTTTCCAGATTTGTTGTAGGCTCCCTCTAAGTACTGGAAGGCCACAGTGTGTTCTCCCAGAAGCCTTCTGTTCTCCAGGCTGAACAACCCCAGTTCTCTGTCTCTTTCTAGGAGAGGTGCTCATCTGGTCATCCTCGTATCTGTACTCTGAACTTACTCCAGTGGTCCACAGCTTTCTTACGTTGAGGACCCCAGAGCTGAACACAGTACTTCTGATGAGACCTCACAAGGGCACAGTAGAGGGGAACAATCACCTCCCTCACCCTGCTGGCCACCCCTCTTTTGATGCAGCCCAGAATCTGAATTACATATGAATTGCAATTTAGTCTGAAAAGAAAGGCTAACAGGAAGTACCAATCTCTAGCTAGCATGGAGAGACAAAATAGAGGAAGAAGGGAGACCTTTTTCATAGCTGGAAAATAATTAATTGGAAAAGCAGTATGGAATGGGATATACTCATTGTTCATTTACTTTAGTTTTCTATTAGAGGTCTCTGGATACTGAAATCCTGTAATTTAGACTATGCTCATCTCTGTGCTCTTCACCTTTTGCTCAGCATGAAGAGATCTTGCAGTGAAATGTGAATGTGAGCGTAATGTAAGATTTTTTTTGCAATGAAATTGGAGTTTTAGCTCTGTAGGGAATACGTATTAAGAGCAGTGGCAGTAAGGAAGAGTCCTTAATATATTCCAGTTATGATTTGGACCTTTTTAATAGGCATATGTTCTCCCAAGTCATAAAACTGATTCCATTCACTTTTTAGAAATGTCATCCTCTTTTCTTTCATCTTGAATCTTTCTTGCACTGTTCTCTGTATGAAGTAATGTTTCAGTTTTTCTTTTGTATATGCTTGTACTACTGTAGCACTGAGGTGTAAAGGTTATCCACATAGAGAAGATGTCTAATAATTCAAGTAGGCAATCCTTCCTTTCTTTCCTCCTGTTCAAAAGTTGAGGGCTTGTTGTTGTCTTTTCTTTGGTTTTTGTTCTTAGGAACAAACTGCTTTGTTACAGGAAGGCCTACGTGTTTTTCACAGACTTGATAAAAAATGTTTCAAAAAAAATTTTTAAAGACCGAAAAAAACATAGAATCATGTTTACACATTGCTGTTTCTTTATTGTATTTTTCCTTCCTTTGTGATAATCATTAATAATTTATTTTCATCTTTCAGGAAACAGGACAGTATTTGAAGACTTGACAAATGCATCCCAGGCTGAAAAACTGCTGCGTTTCTCCTCCTCTTCCTCCTTTAGAGAACTGACTTCTTGAAAGAGAGGTAACGTTGGATGTTGCATTTTAGGTAGAATTTTTTTCCAGAGCAAATAAGCTGAAATTGAACTAAATGTGAGCTTCTTCAGCTTTTCCTGTGATGTTTTAAATTAAGTTTTATCCCATTCTGATGTCTGATATCTGTTCCTGCATCTATTGAAAATGATGTCTTCAGAAAACTGTTTGCAGAGAGATGTTTAGTTGTACTGTGTTATTTTATGGTATTATTTAGCAGTGCTACTGTTAAAGTGAGTTGTCTGAGAGTTAATTGAATTTGAATTGCTCTATATTACATCTGAGTCTGATATCTCTTAGGATATTTAAACATGCTTTGGGAATTTAATGTTGTTCCTTAGTTACCGGGAGTTTGTATTCTCTGAAGGATTTGCTCACTGCCAAAGGCTGTGCTACACTGCGTGTGCAGCCTCATTTATACAAAGACGCCTGACATGCTTCCCCAAACAATTCTGATATTGTATTTCATGTCATTTTCTATTTAAAAAGCACTGACCTGTTCTTAAATGCACTTCTTTCTTCAGAAATCAAAGGAAAAATGTTCTAAGACCAAGATAGATGGTTCCAATCATGTAAGCTGGCTATTTGAAAGCCACTTATCAGGGGCTTCCATGATGTAACTGTTATATATCAAAACTGTAGCTTTTGTTTGAGCTTAAAAAGTTTCCAAAATGCAGCGGGGGGAAAATTGTAGAAAGTAAAGATTTCACTTCATCTTTACCTGCCTTTTTTCTGTAAAATTAACAACAAAATCTACCAATAGTAGCACTTTGGTTATTTATGACGTTGTATGTATTTATGGGACTAAAGTTGACAGTTATCATTGGGTTTTAGGAGGGTTTCTTTTCTTCCCATCTCAGGCTGAAAGAACTTCAGAGAAGGGTGACCATGTTAAAGGCAAAAAAAAAAAAAAAAAAAAGTTTATTATTATTGTTTTTTTCTTTTTTTAAAGGAATACTTTGTATCAGGTGGTTATTTATAGATTTTTTTTTTTTTTTTTTGAAAGTATGATAAATATATCTGACAATGTGGGACAGCTTTATTGCACCTAACTGTTATGTACCTCGGTCATCTTCTAACAAAGAACACAAAAAAAGTAACTAAAATATGTCTTAAAATACAGTATCCCTTCACTTGTTTCTGTTCAGGCTGCTGTTAAATTGCTGGTCCTGTGAAAGCCAGACTTTTGATTACCTTTAACTAAGAATCACTGCGTCGTGTTTGATACGGCTCCAAGAAGTCCTTACGTTTTATTGTCTCCTTAGTTTATCCCTTTTCAGGGCATTCTTCATGAAGTTTTCCTTCTGGTTGATGTTCTTGCAAGTTTCTGTGCTGCCATTAGTAGTTAAGTTGCAACTAGAGACTTTAGTTCTCCATAACTTTTTTTTGTGGATGAAAGTTTGCCCAAATAAATATGTTGAGTTGTGTTGTCAGAGGAATTTAAAATGCCTCAGAACATTCTGAATAGCAATTCATTCAGCTCTCCAGTATCCCTTGGCTAGCAAATCAAAGCTTCTCTCTGAAGAATAAGGCAATAATTAATTGAGAGCAAGAAGAATAGTTGTAGTTTTTTTGTTTGTTTTTTCCCCTCATAGTTCAGTAGATTGGAGATGTAATCGAAGTCCATCTGAATTCCTTACTGCTTCAATCCCCTCAAGTTTTTTTTTTCCCCCTGTCACTTCATACTCAGGGTAAGAGCTTTATCCCAATCTCTTTGTTGTGACCCACAAACAGCGGTTGAAAGGAGACTGCTTAATATATACAGAACGAACTCAAAACCCTGTTAGGTTCTTTGTGTGTTAGTAAAGCCAGGAGTGTGATTTAAATGTTTTTAAAATTTCCAGTATGTCACCAGTAGCATTAACTATATGATTAGAAATGTACTACAGTGTTCAAAAAACTGAAACAAACAGAAAACCCTGCTAGCTCATAGGCACGTACACAAGATAGTTCTCTTCTTCTGTAACAGTGGTTATGTCAGACCCAAATCTTTCCTTTCTGTCTTTCCTTTCCCTCTTTCCTTTTCATCAGAACGTTAAGGTCTATGTATGCCACATAAAAATCTAAGATCTAATCAGTAATCTAAAGGAGCTGGGAGAACTCTTTATTATTTAACTGGGATTGCCAAATAAATCACTCAGCACGGTATGCTGGACGGGGACTGTGTGTACAGAGAGAATAACATCATCTTTGTTACACTTCATTTTTCTTTATCTGCTCTGTTTGCTGCTTGTTAGGTCTGTACATTTTAGCCCGAAGCACCAAGTCCCTCTTTTTCCTTCTCCTTTGTTATCATGCAGTAGTTTAAAAGAAGAATCTGAAGACAACAGTTTTTTGTTGTTGTTTGAAAATGGGACCAGTTGTCAGGAGTGCCACTTTTCATCTTGTTAGATACTATATAAATCTTTTGGGAATTTATTAATAGACTTTCATTGGGTTAGGATTTTACAGAACCAAATTTTTCTACCAGAACTCTTCCTTACTTTCTTTTTTTTCTCTCTTTTTCTTGTAAAGGTAAGGGAGAAGATACAGACGTGAGAAAATGCTGGGATCAGAACGGGGTGTGGTGGAAGAATGGCTGTCGGAGTTCAAGGTGCGCTGAGAGGAATGATAGCTGTACCATTGGTAACATTTTCAATGTGATTACTTCATCTTTCAAGCTCTTATAATTAGTGACACATGCAAAGGTCTATGTAAATTAGTCAACTGGTACCTCATATACAATGCATAGTCCCAATAGCAATTCTTTTTTTTTTTTTGAATTGTATCATACAACCAAACATAGCCTGTTGTAAAAATGGGATTTTTAAGGTGTATCTTACATTCTGTTAACTTGATTTACACAGTAGCTGATAGCTGGATAATGCTACCTGCATTCCTGATTGAGCAACTTCTTTAATTTTCCTTTAGAATACCAAAGAAAATGTTTGGCTGCTTATTCAATTAGTCTACATAAAATGAGTTGTTTTATAAAGAAGAATCTAAAGTATTTTTAAGCTGGTTTGCTTGTTTGTATTTATGGTGGATGAAACAGCAGATAATGCATAAGCAGGCAGATGGGATTTCATGATTGATAGAATATTAATCTGTTATTTAAATTAATAATAATTCCTCTAATCACTGATATCTAAAAATTCATTACATAGTGTTATTAGGAACTTGTTGAGGAGCCAGAGATACAAAATGTACAGACATAATTCAGTGGTGGAACTTTAGGGTATAGTTGACTAATCAAGTCTTTGGAAAGTGCCCATTAAATAAGGAATATTGAGGAAACAAAGTGTCTTCATTTCAAGTTGGATCAAATAATTTTACGAAAGATGCATCTGAAACTGCTTTTGAAGATAACTCTGAATGTTGCTATGTTGCCCCCAAATGCAGTTTATATGGAGCAGAACTGGTACTGAATGAACTAGATAACAAGTCCTAAAATTTACTCAACTTCAGGAATTGGGGTTAGGATGAATGCATTTGTACTTGTGAACACTGATTTATCAGAGTAACTTTTTAAAATTATTACTATTTAGGCATTACCTGAAACACAAATTTCCAGCTATGCAGCTACGTTGCACCGAAAAAAACCACTGGTACCAGCTCTTTATAAAGTCATTCAAGACCCGAATAATGAGGTAAGAGACATAAAAAAAGACATTTGTTTGCAGTTGTGTTGCTTCCACCTCTATAACTAAACGTAGAGAAGTTGGAGAGGAAGAATGTCCTTTCTGGTGTGGTCTGACAGGGGTACTATCCCTCTTATTATTCTCTTCAATTTTGACATTCACTTCATTGCTTTTCTGATAAGGCACAACCTCATCTTCTCCCCAGAATACAGTTTACACTGTCTGCTCAATTTTTCCTGTCACATCTGGCAGTTGCAGTTGACTTCGAGTTGCTTCTTTGGAAAAAAGCTCCTTTCAGGTGCAACAGAGTAGGACTTACAGTGAGAACCTGATAAGTCTGATGTGCATCTTACCTGGTGGCTCATTACGGTGGAGGAAAGAATTGGTGTATAACTCACTATATGCAGTTAAAATAAGCAGACTTTTGCTTATACTAGTATGATGTTTGTGAAATTTGGTTTTAACTACTATAAACAAGTGCAGGAAAAGGACCCCAAAACATAAATATATATGATTAAAAATTAGCTTACCCCTGTCTATAATTAATTTTGCAAATAATGCTAAAGCTGTGCTTTCCACTCCAATGGCTTTTATTATGATCATTTCTGGAAAAGTGTTTGAAATGTGCCTTCTGACTGAATTAAGGAAGTGTACTGCTCTGCAGTGTGAACTGTTTCAGATAGAATGCTTCAAAATATTTGATTTATCATCTGTGATCTCTTGTGTATTTATAGATTTAATGGCAAGCACGCACACTAAGGAAGCTTTTTATTTTCCTAAATGCAGCTCAGCTGCTTTCAGAAGCTGGATGCTTGATTGAGCTTAGAGGAGATTACATAATTCTCATGCAAAAAGAGCCCCACTTCCTATGTGTTAAGGTCATTTCTGTGTTACAAACCACTTCCGTAGTGACGTTTTTCTTTGTACTGAAGCTACTGTTACTCTCTGATCTGTAGCCACCACTGCTACTGTTACTTTTGAGCATAGATGCACTTCTGTGTGTTGGTAGACTTCAGAGTATGTAAATGCTGTCCTTTGCTCTGAGAATAAGCATTTGGTTTACTTTTTATGATACAAAGAACCAGATTTGTCAAAAGGGCATGTTCTTAAGGGTCTGAGAGTGATTTTAAGTTACTGCACATGGATGCTTTCTAATTCTACTCTTTGGAGCTGCTTGTGCTGTTTAACAGGGCCTGATTCTGATCTCAAGTATAAGATGCATGATCCTAAATTTGAGACAAACTTCAAGTTCTGGTTGTTAAGGTTGTAAGGTTAAGTATGTATTTCTGAACTTAGATATAAGGGGTGTAACCACACAGAAACCTCTCACGAAAGTATAAAATAAATTACTTTGTGTAATTCTGTATATTCTCAATAGTTTGCTTTAAGTGAGATTTTTTTTTTCGAGTGCCTTATGGGGTTCTGGTGTTTTTTGTTTTTGTTTTTTCTTTTTTTTTTTTAGAAAGGTAACTGATTGCTTATGAAGCAAAAGCTTGTGTTGTAAACCACTACTAAAACTTTTAAAAGGGAGGTTACTGTTTGGGGCAAACACTAATTTTGCCAAAATCAGTACTCTCTTGGTAAGACTAGAGCTGTTGATTTAGCATGAAACCAGCATGTTTAAGAACCAAACCAAGCAACTAAGGTGTTTTTCTTGTTTGCCACCTGTCTACCAATTTCAGAGCTAACAATTGAAGGCAAGCAAACTGTCAAGTTAAATACAACTGTTATTTGTACTTGTTAGGAAATTCCTTGAGTTTCTTAATATGATAAAGATAACGGCTGGAACAGGAGGTTAGATAGAGATGTGTGTGGTTTTGTTTTTTTTTTTGCTCGTGAGTGGCTTGTTTAACTGAGTAGTGTATTTTTATTTTATTTTTTGCTTAATATTTGCTTTCTAAGATAAAGCAGTTTTGAAGTACTGTTACTTTCATATAGTTTCTTAATTTTTTTAAATTGGTTTATAGTTATAGAAATGTTTTATAAATCTTAAATCAATGTAGTAATGAAATCTAAATACTGACTGTTCATGTGTGGCTATTTCAGTTTAACCTGGAAAGCTCAGCCTTGAAACGAGATGATGACCTTTGCAATGCCAAGCATTTTCCAGACATAGTACTTTTCAAATAATAACTAGTTTCATTCATTGTCTTATACTTAAGCCTAAAATAAGCGTGTTATTTTTTGTTGTGCATTAATTAATCTGAGAAGCAAGCATTTCCAGTCTTTGTCGTGCATTTTATACTGGGTTTTGAACTTTAAGATATGGCAGTGACTCTTTAAGATGTGACAACCTCGTAAAACAGGCCAAATGTGAAAGCAAACAGTCAGCTTCCTTAAAACATGACTAATGTGCATCTCCCTGAGGTGCAAAAATGAGATCTGCAAATCACCTATTGTATTCATGTTAGTAAAAATACTGGTTTTGTTTGTTACGCTAATTGCTCTCTGTGCCAATAGGAGAGCTCTTCTAATGGAAGCTTTAGGTTTGCCAGAAAAGAGAGATGATTCTAAAAGACTTTTGAGCTTGTTTAGCTATTCTACTCGGTTTACTTTTAATATTGTACAGAAAGATCTTCTGGAATTGAAGAAGTTTATGCCTGTTTGTTTATACGTTCATTACTGTTGATAAATGTTCCATTTCCTCTGTTTATCCAATGTCTTCTGAACATTGGACTAGGAGAATTTGCTGAAAACAGCTTGCTGCAGTTGTTAACTCTTTTGCACAATTAATATCACAGTGATGAGATATGAAGAGTATTTACAGGCTTGCAGTACCACTGACTGGATGTTCCTGTATCTCTCTAGGCAGTACAATCTAAATTAAAACCATTTCTACAAAACTTCCATTTGAAGGGCAGTAGAATTATCTCAGTAACTAAGTAGAATTAACTCTGGTCAAGTCTGGTCTGACTTCAGCTAAAATAAATTATTCTTTTCCACTGTTTTTAATGAGATTTGGATTAGACTGACTAATTTCAAATAGGAAACAGCTTAAGGCTACTGTCATCTCTAATCTAATACAAGTACTATTAGTAGCAATGCTACTGTATATGTATCTAGTTTCTGATAATGTTTGTTTAGCTCATCTTGTACCTGTTATCTCCTCACAGATGCATTTGTATTTCTTATTTCCTTAGAGATTCCTCTTTTATTTTTAACACCAGCTTCCTGTTTGTGTTTTCTTTTAAAGTAAACATAAACGTGTTTGGTGATCTCTGAATTATTTACTAACCTCTCTTTTTTGTTTGCTTGAGCGTTTAAACAGTGCTAGACTTTTCATAAAATGAGAATACAGTTCAGTCTCTAAGGACTAAAACATCTACTGCAACAAATGTTTTTAATAATTAGTGTTACTTATAGATAGCATTTGCACTGAGTAAATATTAGGACAATTTACTTGTAAGTCATTGAAACGTAAGATGCTATGCACTTGTGAAATGTTAGAGTAAGTGCACTAAATAAACTGATTTATACTTACTAAGAATGCTTGGGCTTTTTCTGCCAAAATGGTTGCAGTAGAAGGTTTATATTTTCATTGGATTCTAAATTAAAAAAAAATTGTAGTATTGAGGTATTCTACATTCATAGCTAATAAAAATCTACGTGCTTCAGACTACTGAACTTTGCCGTCAGCAGTTTTAGTGTCAGCTTTCTTCCTTCCCCCATTGATGGAGTCTGCCTTTGTTTCTGCTGTAAAAACAGGCTTTTAGCTTAGAGCATCTAGGCTGTCCATCAGAAGCCTTGTTACACAAGGTGCTTACACCAAGCCTAGCATAAGAAGAGATTTGACTGTTAGCAAAGTTTTATTTTGTGCAGATGTGATATTATGACTTATGTAATCAGTGGTGTAATTAGCCTGCTTCATTGGCCAGGGTACTGCGTGTTAGAAATGGAGCTGTGTTCACCTTTTCTTGGGGATTGTAAAATTGGTACTCTCTTAAAGCAGCTATCTCAATAGAAATCCTGTCAAAACTTATGCTGTCTGTGGTGTACTGGAGTAAAATATTGAAGTCAAATAGGTATATGTTAAGTTTTATAGTCGTATAGATTTATGGCATTGTATGTTTATCCAAAATTCAAATCAAGTAGAAAGGTCTCTCCCTTTCCTCTGCTGGTAGCAAGGGACTCGTTAAAAGGGTTTTAGGACATAGTTCACAACAAGCCAGAGAAGCCCTTCTTCATCCAACACAGCTGAGCAGTGATGGTTAATTCTACATGAAATTCTGGGTGCTAAGATCCTGATGACTAGACAAATTATTGTGTTGTTTGTATCATATTGAGCAAATATGTACTTGCTGGGCTTGAGACTAAAAAGGAGTAGGTAAGAAATTAATTTGTGCTCCTATCAATAGACTTGTCTTCAGCAGCTTCTACTGATCTTCACCTTTTTCTACTTTTCTAAACAACGTAACAGCACTGTTGAACTTCTGTGTTCCATGTAGTTCAAGCCATTAATCTGTCACATATCTTAAATTAGTATCTGAATACAAATCTCATACTGGCAGTCCTAGAAGACAGTATTCTTAAAGAGCAAGATGGTTGTTTAGTAAGGCCACATTTCCCAGTTCTGTACACCAGTTCCACTCAAGTCCATGCTTATAGACCTCCTTAAAAAGAACACAAATACTGTTTTGGTTCATTCATTTACTTGACATTGAGGATGTCATCTTTACTGACTACAGTGGCTGCATTGTATAGCCCATATATTTGATATTGAGTTCTCTTTCATTAGGGAAGCCCAGGAGTAATTCATTACCATTTTTGTCTTTTCACAGCTCCTGGAGCCTGTTTGCCACCAGCTCTTTGAACTGTATCGTAGTTCTGAGGTTCGGCTGAAGAGATTCACACTGCAATTTTTGCCAGAACTGATCTGGGTGTATCTGCGTCTTACTGCCAGCAGGGATAGGCAAAGTAATGGTTGCATTGAAGCACTGCTGCTTGGCATTTACAACTTGGTAAGTGAGGCGAGGGGGGTTGGCTGAGGAAAGCTTTGATCTGAAGTTTTGCATTGCTGACTGGTAGGAAAACATTATTAGAACAACGTGTATATATGAAATTATAATATGACTGCATGAAAGCATATTTAGAAAAAAAGTGTATTGTGGTGAAGGTTTAGTAAAAGCAGTTTTGCATAAATATTTGTTATTGATTGTAAAACCACTTGGAGCAAACATTTTAACTCGAAAGGATCATTTTGTACATTTTCTTAGAGTTGGGTAATTGTGTGCACAGGATGCTGAAGTAGCCCTCTTTAATGTTGAAACATACAACTTTTACATGCATATCACTATGTGACTTGTCAGTCTTCCTGTACCACTTTCTCTTCCCTCTGAATAGTTTATTTTTTAATGGCAGTTTGAAGCTAAAGCTACTGAGCATGTTAGTGTTTAGATGCATGTGTGCTTCTGAGGCACTGTGTTGAGTGGAACTGTGATTTTAAGAGTAAGTGAAAGAAACTGTAGATGATTAGGTTTGGCTGTTGGAGTTAACAGTTGTTTGTTCTATCCTTTCTCTTAAACCCTTTTCCTGAAAATTTTTCGTATTGTATTAAGAGGTTGTTTGATAAATTTAGCAATAAGGCGAAGAAAGGCATTCCTTGATAGGAGTTTCCATATTATGTAGCTATAAAGCATATAATACCAAAGTATTGTCCTTCCCTCTTCATATTTTAGTGAAGTTCTTCCGTTAACTGTTTTCGCTGTAGCTATGATGAGGCTGATGAGACACTGTGATTCTCTAAAAATTTTAAAAAATAAATAAAATTTCTGCTATTTGTCTAGATCACCTCTAACATATTCTGATAGAAATTAAGAGGGTACTACTTGCTGATTTTTGGTATTGTTTGCTAGGTTGAATATTTATCTCTGGCATTAATTTTCTCATAGGAGTCCTATTAGTGGTTCCTTTGAAACTCGTGATTCTTGTTCTTTAGGGATGCTAAAGAAAGAGACCTCAAAATGGACAATAACTAGCTCCATTTCTTTCTTTGGTTCTGTTGATATTTTTTACTACAAGAGTGAAGTTATTTTCTCAATCTTTGGAAGGACAACAATAGATTTTTTTGCATTCTGTTAAATTCCATCAGTTCTCTTCCCTTTCTGACCATTAAAGTACATTCATACATTTAAGTACTATGCTACCTTGGACTAGGATTTCATATAAACCTGGTTGGTTCAAGTTATTACTTAAAAAATTACAGTACAAAATGGAAAGGCACGTGTCATGGTTTTATCTCTAGATCTGTGTCTGTGATGAGGACAGTGAACCCCACAAGCCCACTCACCCTAAAGGGTGAAGGGAAAGAAATGAAAGGGGGGGGGGGGGGGGGAAGCAAAAAACAGCAGCAACAATCTGAGCAGGAAAACAAACTTAGTTTACTAATCACAGTAGTAAAGTATAGTATAGTGGGCAAGATGTCCAGCGAGTGCTCAGAGCTGAGGCAGGCAAAAAGAGGGAAAGTCTTGTGAGTTGCAGTCAGTTTTATCTTCCTCACCAACCAGAAAATGGAAATGGGATTGTTAAGTCTTCTGGGATCTGTAGATTGCTCTTCTCTTCTGAGGCTGGAGCTGCAGTGTTAGAGAATTAACTCTGCATGGTGTTCCGATACTGGCTGCAGGTTGTAAAACCCACCGCAGCATGACTTTAGACTGCTTTCTGGTACGTTCCTGTGTAATTGCTTTTAGTTTATTGGCTTTAAAAACTGCTGGTTTTGCTTATGTAGTAAGTATCCTGTCAACTATAAAATCTAATTGGTTTGAAAGTCTTTTGAGAAAACACTGTGTATTTCTTACTGATAGAATTCCTGAGTCTTCACCAGTCTCCTTGATTTCACCTTTTTTCTGTACTACATTTATTTTGAAGTACTGCCCTTTGGCAGCAAGTGACTCATCAGCCCTCATGCATCTGTATATTTAGGTTTCAAGTTTAGCGTTGCTCCGCTGTGCAGTTCTGCTATACCTAAATGTCGTAATGTAACGGGCTAGAGAAGCTTTCACTTCTTGGTTTTGAACAAAGCCAGAAAGATCAAGGAGCCAATGATTTTTTTTCTAAGCGCAGTCAATGATGAAGGTCTTTCCCATCAGGTCTTCTCAGATCAGAGCATCTAACTTCTTACTTTCTAAATACATGTTAGAAATTCTGTAAGTTTTCCAGATCCTGTCTTAGTTCTGTTGTGTTTTTTCGTTGTTTTGTTTTTTTGGTGAATTTTTTTCATTGTTGGTTTTTTTATTTGTTGTCCTGTTGTTTATTTTTGTTTGTTTTAAATTCAGGAAATTGCTGACAAAGATGGAAACAACAAAGTTTTATCTTTCACCATCCCTTCGTTATCTAAACCCTCGATATATCATGAGGTAAGAGAGCTGGTATGGTAAATTAGACTTGGGTCTATCAGAGCAATGAGAACTGCATCCATTTAGAGCAACAGGCTATTTCGGTGCATCCTGTTTTCCTTTCTTGGAGCAATTCCTTTCTTGGAGCAATTGGTGTGATCTAATCAGTAACAATAATAGAAATATAGATGTTGTAAAATGATTGCTGACAGTGCCCATTTTATGTAGAGATGAGTTATGTTAGTTATGTTGTAGTTGCAAATGGGTTGCCTCTTAAGTGTTAGGATAAAAGTAATCGATTTCCTTTTGTAACTCCTCGTTAACACAAGTTGAACTTCAGATTCATTTTTCTTTCTCCATAGTTGCTGTACGAAAGGCCTGTGCAATTAGAACAAACCTACTTTAGATGAATATGCAACAATCAAAATTGAAAATGACTTTCATTTGCTTTTTATGATAACGAGATCATGTCATGTTTTTAGGTTTTGTAATTATTTTCATTTTTTAAAGACAACTGTATATTTTGACTTGGATGATTGTCACACGTGGCATCCTGGTTGCCAGATTGGAGAAAAATAGATTTGATGGGTGGACCACTCACAGGTTAAGGGATTGGCTGGATGGCTGCGCTCAGAAAGTCGTGGTCAATGGCTCAGTGTCTGGAGATGGATGATGAGGGGCGTTCCTCAGGGATTGGTGCTGAGACCGGTGTTATCTGACATTTTTGTAGGTGATGTGGACATTGGGATCGAGTGCACCCTCAGTAAATTTGCAGATGACACCAAGCTGAATGGTGCAGTTGGCGCCCTAGAGACCTATAGCAGCAGGGGGTTGGAACCAGATGATCTTAACAGTCTCTTCCAACCCAAACCATTCTATGATATTATTATTAGGAATTTCGATGCTTTTGCAGACCTTTTACTTCTGATTTGTTTTCTCCTCCCTCCCACTCTGTACTTCCAGCCCTCTACTATTGGATCCATGGCTTTAACTGAAGGAGCTCTCTGTCAGCATGATCTCATCAGAGTAGTTTACAGTGATCTTCATCCTCAAAGAGAAACCTTCACAGCACAGAACAGGTAGGTTGGATGCATTGTAATGTTTGCGGTGCTTCACTAAACAGTCAAAAAGTCATTAAACGTTAAGACCAAATAGATTGTGGTCAGTCCTTTCTGTGCTTGGAAGAGAGAGTGCAAATCAGTAAACAGTAAAATATCAGTAAACAGAATATTTTTGGTTTTGCTTCCAACTTTGTGTGTTACTGGTTCATTTAGATGAGAATGACTTTTCTGTCATCTCCGTGTCTGTCAGAAATATCTTTTGAGTTCATGCCTGTCAACTCAAATTTTACTGAAAGCGTAACAAAAGTCTGGTATTGCCTTTACCACAGGAAAGAAAGGGATGGAGCCAAGTGCATAGAAAGAAGTGAGGATGAAAAACCTTGGGAGGGAGGTTTCCTGGTTCTGCTGCATGAGGACATGTAGACTGGGACTCTACTCATTATTAGTAACTGTATCCAGCCTTTCTAGTGAAGGCTGGCTGAAGAGCAGATTCTGAACTCGTTCTAGTGACTCTCAGCTTTGCATGTGTTTAAAAGTAGCTCTAGGAAACCTAATAATAAAATTTTAAAAATGTTGCAGGCTTGTCCAGCTCTGTAGCAACCTGGACAGATTTTATGACATGTCATTTCCTCGATAATTCCTGCATATGCTAATGGTTTTCAGTAATACTTTAAAGTGAACCTTTAATATCCTGTTTCAAGTTAATGAGCTATAGTGGAAGAGGGTTTTGGGATTTGTGTGTTTATTTATGACACTTTCTCCTTTGAGGTGAATTTCAAACTGAGTTGTAGGAATTTTTTAAATTTTTTAAACTTTGGATGGAATATTAAGAATTTAAACCATGCAGGATCTTGATCTTGTCTCTTTTCAGGTTTGAGGTGCTGAGCTTTCTCATGCTGTGCTACAATTCTGCTATTGTCTATATGCCTGCCTCTTCTTACCAATCACTTTGTAGGATGGGTTCCAGGTGAGACGCTTGCCTTTGAAAGTCTTTCAGGGTACATCTAGATTTCTAAATATTCATCCAGCAGAAAAGAGTAAATGAACCTATTATATGCTTTAAGTTACTAAATGCAACATTTGGTCACTTCTGCAACTTAATTGAAAATTTGATGCTATGCTTGGATTACTCCTGCATTGGATTTTGTTCCACTTATTTAACCTTTTGTTATCTGAAGGGGAAAAAAAATGGGGCAAAATTTTCTGAACCTAATCAGATTGATCTGTATTGATTGAATTTACATATCATTCAGGCACTTTTCAGTATGGCTAGATTCAAAATATTGTGAGGGTTACCTTTAGTTTCTTCTGCTTCCAAATATTGACCCTCTTGTTCCTCGGGATAGTTTATATGAAGTGCTAGTACAGTGTTCCATGCTTTAGGTTATGTATTTTGTTTTGTTTTGTCCTCCTCAGTAATGATATCTTCTATTTTTCTAGAGAATTCAGTACTGTGATTTAAAGTACATTCTTTATATAATCTTCTGCTTAAACAGTCTTAAAAGCATCTGGTTGGCAAAGATCCCTGCTTTATGCTCTGAAAAATCTGAAGTATTTCTGATATTTCCATCTGCCAGTTTCTATCAGCAATTTTGTTTGAAATGAAGTCAGTTCACTCCAATATCCAAACAGACGGAGCTCTTTAAAAATGTTTAATTTAGCTTTTTTTCTGCAACACAATACTGCCATGAAAGAAATTAATTACATGCAATTCAGTTACATAACTATAAAGGATCAGACAAGCTTCTGACAAATGTGTATTCTGTACTAACACGCATTCAGGTAGGATGATAGGCTGTTTCTCTCATCACATTCATTATGGGAACCAGTCACTTCTCAGTGTGCTTCCATCATTTTCATTTGAGGTATAACTATGCTGGATTTAATAAATATGCTGAATGTTCCTTTGAAAATTAGGTCTACTCTTCAGTTAGAGAGGAGAGAAACAATGTAGGAATTGTTTTGGTTTTTTTTTTTTTGAAACAATGCAGCAACAGTAATAATTTGGGTGTAGCAAACTATTTCCAACAATAAGGTTATTTTATTATGAGCTGAGTAAAAGTTGCATGTTTTTGTCTTGTGTTATGACATTTTAGTGTGTAATATGCATAGTACAACAATATTGTTTCAACTTTAATTATAAATTGCTGTCATTTTCCTTAACCTTCTAAATTTAACTTTCCACAACTGTTTTCTTTCAGTTAAAATAAGTAATGATGTTGCTCACTTGAGCACATGTTAATGGAACTGTACAGTGAACTCCATTCTGAGTATTACAGTCACTAGTCTTGTAGTGGTTTATAATCTAAGTCATGGACAATTACAGCAGGAATCATTTTGTTCCACAAAGAGTGGAGTGATCTTGAAAAGGAAGCATCCTGGATCCTCCTTGTGTAACAGTATGCAAGTATGCAAGCTCTGCCTTGTGGTTTTTTCTCAAAGCTTTTGTGCTCCTGGTTTGCAGCGCAGCCTAAAAAGCCATTATTATGCTGACTTGGGTCTGTGTACCTTGCCTTGTTGGAAAGACTGGACTATACATAGTCAGCAGATAATTCCTACCATGGTACTGTCTGCTTTCCAAGATGAACTTGGACCACAGTTTTTGTTACTGAGGCAACAGATCATATTACAAAACAGTGGATTGCATGGGTTTCAGTTTAAAGCTGATAGCTGGGAGACCTTTTAGATAATAGCTTTCATTTTTTGTCATTTTCTGATAAGAGCATTAACACAGTGAGATACTTCTTTGTGTTGTGGTTTTGTTTTTCTTTTGAAGGCTTTGGATTGTTTTCTTTTCTTTTGGTGGCTAATTGATAATTTCATTCCTTTTTTCTGTTTTGCCTAGTGTCAGTATGTGCTCATGGAGTCCATGCAATAATCTTCCCAGTTTTAAAGGAAAAAACTAATGTACACAGTACTGGATTACTAGATTAGAGAAACAGGCAATACATTTACATTGACTGCATTAATATCCATGCATTGTTTCTGTGTTCTACATATGTCAGAACGTCAGAGTTCTGAATAAATGTATCTGGTGTGTTGTTTTTTTTAACAGCAGAGTCAATGCAGTTGTGACAAGGCAGGCCCTTTGTCAAGGGCTGTAACTGATTTTGGTTTTATTTGTAGTAAAACAGCAGCTGAAAGTAATTCTCAAGAGCAAGGTATCTTTGTTAACCAATAGCGTACATAAAGTGGGAGATGGTACGTCTCTGTTCTATGCCACTGAAATGTTTCCTGTGTAGAAAATTGCGTTTGTTAACTGAATTTCTGGGAGAGTCTTGTACTGATATTAGCAGTTTTGCTACTGTAATTCTTTAGAGATTGATTATGATTTGAAGAAAACAGAATTAATGGCTTTATGGGAATTTCTCTGGATTATCAGCAAGTTACATGTCAAGGCACTGTTGTTAAACCGCTTTAATGATTGGAAGAGCAACAATGTAAGAATATTCTGTGTTGTGAGCTTTATGTTTTGAAAAACAGGTTTTAAAGTCATTTTTAGTTTGAAGTAATTGTGGGGTTAACATTGTGGTGCAATGGTATATTTTTTTCAGGCTGTGTGTGAGTGGATTTCCACGGCAGCATGAGAAACGCTGGAAAGAACACTGTGGTAGAGTGGTGTTAGACCCTGACTTCATGGTGCAGCTGCTCACAGGTGTCTATTATGCTATGTAAGTAGACTTTTTTTTTTTTTTTTTTTGTAATAGGAGTGACTGGTTTTACATGAGTTAAAATATCAATGCTTGTTGTTCTAAAAATTGGAATAAATGAATTTAACCCAATATGACACAAAGATCTAACTTGGTTAGCGTATTTCCTGTTACTTACTCAGCCAACTGATAATTTGAAAATATCTTTGTCAGCACTGGAGTAGGTGGTGAAGGACCAGCACCAGGTACTGGAGAGAAGGAAGCTCTTGGCTTCATCTTTTCCTGAGTTTTTACTACTGTCAGATAACCTGTTAACAAGCATGATGAGCTTGGATGCCAAGATAACCTGATGAAATGCAGTCCTCTTGAATGCCAGTAACTACTGAGGTAGCAAAAATCCACTTCTGATAAGAACTAAGTAAACTGTGACCCCATTTTTCATTCTTTAAATTTATCCTGATTATAGTGTCAGCTTTGTCTCACTTTGCTGTGACAGGGAGCATCTTTTTCCATTATACCAAAAAGAGTAATATAAGAGAAACTTACCTGTTTATATTACAAAATAGAGGACATTCTGGGTGTGTATGCAACTGATAAACATTCCGCATAAAGAAAGAGCTGAATTTGGATAGGAAAAAAAAAGCTAATCTGAGTTCCTAAGATACATAAGATAAATCTGTTTCTTTACATTTAGATATAATGGTCAATGGGATCTTGGCCAGGAGGTTTTGGAGGACATAATTTACAGAGCACAGCTTGAACTCTACTCACAACCTCTGTTGGTAAGAAAAAAATCTACTGAAATCTATGAACTTCATTATGAAGAATATGGAACTGTTTCTGAAATGGACTCTTAAGGCCTTTGTGGCCATTTACTGCATTCCCAAATGCATGTGGTTGTTAACAGCTGGTGTTTTCAACATAGTTATTTGCACCATGCTTTTTCTGCATGAATGTTGGGATCTCCTAGTACTTAATGATGCAGAAAGCTAGTATTTTCTAATGTAGTACAGTTGGATCAAATGTTTGTTGTTTTGGCACCAGCTACTGGTGACTTCTTCAAAAAAGCTTAACTGAATGATTATGTGTTGCAGGACAAAGATTGTAAAAAGGTGTATTTTCTGCATCTAGACCTTAAGAAGACTTTAGAGTATGCTGTGTGGTTTAACTAATAACGCAATAGAAAAACAGCAACAGGGTAGAGCTGTAAAAGAGGAGGAGCTTTATCTACACTCAGTGTCAGATTTTAATTAAGTTACACAAATCTTAACCTTCATCTTCTTCAATTGACCATCAATAGAGTGGTTTTCTTACAATCATTTTGTTTTTTGGTTTTTTTTTCCAGTTCCCATTAGAATCATTTAGGAAAAAAATCAATTTAGAATCAATTCAGGAAAAAAAAAAAAATGTGGAAAGAGGTAAAACTGTGCAGGATACAGATGGAGGGTACAGACAAAGGATAAGGAGGAATGGAAGATTTTTATTTTGTGTGAAATGTAGGAGCAAGGCTCAAAATAAGAAGGAATGTTAATGAAAATAAAGTAAGTAGAATAGAACATTATCTCGATTTCTCTGAATTGTGGCCAGAAACCTTCAGTGCTCTTCTGAAATAACAAAAGTAAATTTAATTACTTTTACGTAACTGAAGGAAAAAAATTGATTGGGAGAAGTTTTTTTCTGTGTCAATCTGACATCACTCTCTCCTCCAATAAATTAAGTAAAATTATTCTCTTGGTGAATTAATATTGGCTACAAAACTTATCTACAGGCTTTCTGAGAGTCCTGCATTTGAAATGGTTGGTATCCATTGAATTATTATAATAGCTGGTTCCTTTTCAAAATGACTCACTGCTTCATCAGATTGAAGGTTTTAAATTAAATATTGAACCTGCAGAAATGGACCACCTTATCAAAATACAACATTGAAAAGTGGTGTGGGAGGATCTGGAACGTAATTCAATTGATGATAGGACAATTTTCAGTCCTGATTATTCATTTTTAATCATTTTGTCTTTTCGGATGACTTTTAAGAATCTTCTAGAATATCTGTTTTGTCAACATTCATTTTGCTTCTCCAACCCATTGTTTGATGCTGTCATCACTGATTTTTTTTATTTATTTATTTATTTTTTTCCCTCTCTCCCCCCCATTTTCTAATTGTCAGTTTTTCACGCATGTATCCTTGCCTTGTTTCACAGCTTGTTTCACAGCAGTTTTTGAAAAGCACCTTTCAAGAAATCAGCAGATTTATAAAAAGATAACCTTTGTATCTTTGGCCTCACACTGTATATTCAAACCACCAGACCTTTTCAAAGGTTGAAGTCCTTTCACCTAGTTGCAGTTTCCAGGAGATGTAAATAATTTAGCAGCATAAAACTGTATTTTTTAAACACTTCAAACTACTGCACCAAATAAAATATCATCTGTGCATCTAGTTTGATCAAGTTCAAGTCTCTGCTTACAATTGCCTAGCAGTAGCAAATTCTTTGAAATCCATTTAATATTTAGATGATCTTCCATAGTAGGATTCTTTTTATATCTTTCTATACAGGCTGTTTGTCTAATTATGGATATACTGATCAGTCATCATAATGATGAGACATACCACACCTTTTAGTGCAGGATTAGTTATACCTCTTGGTATTAAGAACAGTGAAGGCAAAGGGTTTTTTTTTTTTTCATCTTCCTTCTCTTTTGGTTTCCCATCTGATGGAGAAGGAATGTGTTTTGTTCCTTCTGGTTGTTTGGATTATTTCCAGGTTTTACTGCTGCTTAATTTTATTTTCATATGGTTCTCCTTGATCCCCACAAGTACAATTTGTGCTGCTAAAAAGGGCCAGTTGTTAATATGCTCCACAAGAAAAAGTGCTGTGTCACTTTCTGGTCCTACTGCAAAAGCCTTTTACTACTAATTTTCAGATTTTAATCCTGTGTACTGAGAAAGGGTACATATTCAAAAGAGGATGGAACTCTAGCGAAGTAGAGGATTGGAAGGCAAACCACTATGTGATTGAGCTTGATGTGCACTGAGTCAGCACAGCAGAAATGAGCTTCAAAGTCTCTAATGAGATCAAGGATATGAGCACAGTGAGGTTTAAAGATGCCAGCATGGAAGAAGGACTACGTATGAATAAAAGAGCAATTTGCAAACAAGCAATGAATCTGAGAGAATTAAGTAGCAAAGGCCATATTAGAAGTGGACAAGTGGTAGAATGATGAAGAGTATTTTCTGTAATGGTGCCAAGAATCTTTAGGCTACTTTGAAAGTCAGACACAAACTCAGCAGAGATGTTTTGTGTGGAGTTAAAAAGAAGCTGGAGAAGTTCAGGATCAGCTATGTGGCAGCTGCTGTAGCTTCCTAAGAAGTGACGAGTCTTAGAGTTAGTTAACATCTTGTCATCTCTGACTTTACTGTTTGAATGAGTTTCATGTCCTCACATGGCTGCTGGATGGCTTGTGTATTAGAATTTGTAGGAAAGTTTTATTTTGTTGTGATACTACTAAATGCTTATAATTCATGTAAATTATATGGCATAGTAGATGCACTGATATATTTATTTTTTATTAAGCATTATTTGAGATCTTCACAGGACAGATCATACGAACGTGGTTCTGCTGAATCATGTTCTAGTGGTTTAGTAAATCTCATCTTGCTTGTGTTTTGGTAAATACTAATCAAAGATGACTTCATTAAGTAAGCAGATTTATTGCACATGGGCTTGCAGAGTTTTAGGGAATTAATAGAACGTCTCTTACATTTATGACACCTCTGGCAACCTCAGAATATGAAGACAACTCGGATGAAATTTAAATCTTAACTCTTTTATTATGTAGAGAGGAGTGTATGAAAATGTTACTTCCAGCATAAAACTAGGAGATGCTGGGTTGCATCAACTGTGTAGAATATTGCTACAATTCCATCAGCTAAGCACAATGTTTTATAGAATTAAAAAGAAAAAAGCTTGTCTCTGTGTAGAACAGAAAAACAAAATGGTTGAAGGTGGAGGGGGATATGTGTGCCTTGCTAGAAAAGTAGAAAAAGTGGGGTGATTTCCAAACTTGTGTATTCTAAAGCAGATCTGTATTTCATATGAGTTGACAGAACTGTCACCTTGTAGTTGTATCATAAAGAGTTTAAATGCCCACTGTCCTGGGTTAACAGGTAGGCTGCATATATTTAAGACTTGCAGAGCACATATATTTGAGATGTTTCTCTTCATACAGTGCATTCTGATCTCTGAAGTTGCACCACTACAAAATTATTTTATTTTTTAAATTTTGTTTTCTAATTCAAGGGAGTATTCATTAGGAGAAAATGTACTTTTCATAGTGATGACTATGTGCTGTAATGGGAACTACCTAAATTACTGTAAGAACAATTGATAAGTAAGATTTTATAGCGATTAACTAGATACATTTTCCATGCTTATTTTATTTTTTGTCTAGTTATCTGTGGCCTCCTTAGTTTACTTATTCATCTTCATTAGGTAAGGACTAAGAGCCATGCGGGAGGTCAGATACTTGTGAAACAAGAGATACACAAAAGAAGCTGTAATGTTAGGTTTAAAATGTTTGTTTATTGCTGCATGGCTGTATAAATTCAATAGGATTATGGAAAATCAAGGCAAATTCACTTTGATTTTTTCTGAAGTTTTAAAACATTGTGCACAACAGCTTTATTTTTGCTAAATACTCTACATACTGTAGAGATCTATGGAGGTGGAAAGTGGAAATGGTCTTGTCTCCTATGTTGTGACCATTCTTGTCATACAGCTTGAACAGTTTTCTTGTTCTTGCTTCCATTATGATGGAGAATTTATTGTGTAGATTGTTACCACTCTTAGTACAGATGTCAAATGTAGAACAAAATGGCTTACATGGAAAAAGTAAGAAGAGAGAAAATTGGGCTATAAATTTGGGAATAGGCTTGTGATGGTCTTTTCAACTTAGCTAAAGGCTGTGAGTCTTGGGGATGGGACTGTCCATCTGGATGGGATCTGGCATAATAAACAGTTCTTGGTTGTTTCTCCATCTGGATCCAGCAGAGAGATTTAGTACTGCCATTAACATGGTCAGTGGTGGTAGTAGTATAGCATTTTACTTTCATCTTAGGTTGCAAATGCCATGAAGAACTCACTGCCCTTTGATGCTCCTGATGCATCCCAAGAAGGCCAGAAGGTACTGAAAGTAGAAGTTACTCCAACAGTGCCGAGGATTTCTCGAACTGCCATTACAACAGCTTCTATCCGTCGTCACCGCTGGAGAAGAGAAGGTGAGCTTTCTTTTCCAATGGCAAGTACTGTAATGTTCTGTATTCATCACCATCACTGTTACCTGGCTTCTGAGTTTGAATGTTTGCAGAACAGTTGGTCATGGTTGTTTTGTTTTTTCCTTTTGAAAAATGATTCTCCATAACAATGTATAGTATTTTACATCTTCAGAGCACTGCATGAACATGAACATTTGGAATGTTTGTTTTGTTTTTTTTGGAAAAAACATGAGGTATGTTTGAAGGAGAAAAAAAGAGAAAATTTAGAAAAAGGAAAAGGGGAAAAAAGAGAGTGGAAATTGTTTACTAAGGCTTTTTTCCCTCTACTGTAACAGAACATAAAATTGTTGTGGCAGAGTTTAGTGTAGAATTTCAGTCATTTCTGTGATGCACTCTGAAATTCAGTTGCTCTCTCATCAAAAATAGCTTAGGAAATGAGTATTGTTATTCAGACCTTGCTCGGGTTCCAGTTACCCACAGCCACTGAAGACAGTGGGAGATGGAAGAGTTGAACATCATACTCCTAGCATCATGTGGCCCAACTTATAGAGGGAACGTGTCATAAAGTAGTTGTGGGTAGCTTAAAATTATTCTGTTTTTCCTTATTCCTTAATGAATACTTATTTCACATGGAAGCATGCTGGTCCATATGAAGAACAACAGTAATGAAAACAGTAGTAATGTTTTCCTTCATATGGTTAAATTTTTGTTGTAATTGTAGCAAAAATTGCTTTAAAATCATTTTGTCAAACAAAGTTTTTTCCTGCATGTGTGAAACACAACTTTAAAAAAGCTGCATAATGACTGAAGGCAAAATGTAGAATAACCTAAAAATAAACTGAGGTTACAAGAGTCTGAAAACAAGTATTACATTTTTCCTTTTTTTTTTTTTTCTTTCCTATACCATGTGCCAAAACATTTAATGACCTCTGGTCCTCAGCTGACTCAGGATGTCTAGGACAAGAAGCAACTGTCTTCTATTTTCAGGACTTTGGGCCATGTTTGTCTTTACTGTAGCTGCCATTATATTCATTTTCTAGTCTCTGGTATGGAGTATAGCCCACCTGTCCCTTTCTGTGGATGTTCTCACAAACTTTTAACTAAGCATGAGTAGTGTTTCGTGTTTGTTCTATGTCCACATAAATTTTCTATTCTCCCTGCCTGGGTTGGAATGCCAAGAAAGGAACAGAAAAGCACTAAAATGTTATATGTTGAATCCCAGATGGCTTTGACTTCTCAAACGAGGCTGACTCAAGCATACCTGGCTCACCGATCCAACACGGCTCCACAGACCTAGGGATCAAACGTGAGCAAGAGGGGGAGGTGCTGATGCGCAGGACCCCTGAGCATGGCTTCCCGGAGCCCACCTTGGCAGCAGCCACAACAGAGGGTAGGACAGAGATGAGGAGGCAGAAGTCAGTGAGGCAATTGCTGGAGGAGGATCCCGGCTCCCTATCCCCAAGCAGAACTTCTTTCCATTCTAGTGTGTGTTTCCGCTATCCCAGGGTGTATTAGCTTCTCTTTGCAATACACGCATCCCCTATATACCTAACATCAGGTCAGGTACTACCTTTTGTTATCACATGGGCTGGCCTGGGGCTTGCATCTGTGTGGTGAAAGGCTGCTTGGCATGGCAAGCAATAAAATAAAAATGACAAGAGTAATAGCCAAGAGCTTTGGGATTGCTTGGACACTTTCTATTACTGAGCATGTTTAATATTCAGAGGAAAAAATGCACCTGGTGAACATGAATCCAGTCCTGAAAAATAGATAGCATAGAGTATAAATGGATTTGGTTGGCAACAGCTTAGTTCCAGTAATGTCTTATTTTAAATTTCCAAGAACAAAGTAAGCCTATCTAAGACAGATTCACAACTATTAATGTTTATTTGATGGTCAGCCTTTAATTGAAGACTCAAAATCTTACAACTAGTGTAGCTGAACGATCTGACTGCTGTAAAAACAAGTACCAAAATGGAAAAACTTGTGTTTCTAAACACTTTAGAAACAATAATTGCTTCTTTATTCAGTTGTGCTGTCCACGCAAGTGCTGTAGGGCTTCATATTCCCACACTATAATCAGGAATAGCAGACACAGTAGTTAGTAGAAATTTATTTTGCTTCAGTTCATCTGTTTATTTTGTCATCTTTATTCCATGAAAGGTATTGTTTTGAGCACTGATTTTGAAACGTGATTTCTCATCAGAAATGAGAATTAATTTCTTATAAATTTAGCTAAACATAATTTAAGTGCTTGCATATTTTAAAGCTCCAATCTGAACAGGCTTCTGGTATTTCCAAAATATGTAAGCATAACAGCTGATAGTAAATGAGATTTATTTTTAGATTCTACATAGGCTTCAGATTTGTTCTTCTGGAAACAATCATCTAGAGAATTTGAAGATTTAATGTAGTGTCACCACAATCCTTATCAGAGTTGCTATCAAGCATGGGATTATAATCTATTCCTTGGTGCATAGTGGGTTTGAGCATGCTCAGTAAATGAGTATGGCCTTCTCCTAACTTCACTGGTTCACTCAATCTTATTCCTTTGCATGTGCATGACCTGAAGGATATGGAGAAGTCCTCAGATGCAGAGAACATTCTGGAAGAGATAGGAAATGGGAAAGAAGTTGAAAAAGATATGGCCTTCTAGTCTTAATTGTTTCCAGATGCTTTTGTCATTTGAGATATTACTGGAGAAGTGATCATTCCACATGCTTCTGTTAAAGTTGGTTTAATACACTTCTTTAAATGTTGACAGTATAAAATTACATGCTTGGGCAATTGGAATTCTGCTAGTTAAGACTAACTAGGAAAAGGTACAGGAATGGAGTTTGGCTTGATTATCAGTATAGAATTGTTTGTGTATATATGGGTCTTTTATTGATACTTATTTCACAGAAAGTTTCAGTTAGTGAATATCCTCTCATAAGAATATAAAAAAATATAATGAGAGACTGATTATTTTCAGTTACTTTTCAACCTTCAGATGTGGAAAGGATAAATAGAATTAACGTTATTTTTAAAAAACAAAATCCTTTTCAGATCAGTTTTTGACCCAATAATTACAAAAAGGCAGAAGACTTCAAAAATGACTCAGAAAATACCTTAAGAGGTATTCTGCTTCTGAGTGGTAGCAGCTACTGCACTGGACTATTTCCAGTCAGTAGAGAATGCTGTATCTGCATTTACAGAATTACATACTGATATTAATAATGTATTCTTTAGAGAAAGATTTATCCTGATCAGAAACAGTAGGAATCCCAAAGACATGCTATAGGGCAATTGATGTGATTTCTGTTAGGCTGGGCTGTCTTTTTTCTTCTGGCCTTATAATAAAGAGTGCTTGGCTTTTGAAGTCTTGTTTTCCTTTCAAAATCATCTTATTGGTCTCTTGGTAAACAAATGAACAAATCCTTTGTGACTTCATCCTCTTTTACCTCCAAACACAGTGTGTAAAGAATGGAACATTTTTTGTTTGTTCCTGTGGACAACTTTTAGAGGAAAAATAGATGTACTGGGAAAAGATTACGTTCATGGAGTTATTTCAGTCCTACTGAGAACATCTGTAGCTATATGGATCTGACTAGAAAGTAATTCTCGTGCATGTTGTCTTCTCTATCTTCTTCATTTTTTAGCACTGCTGAGCTGCTTGGGCCTCTGTCTAGTTGCAGCATCGAAAAGCTTGCAACAACCCCTCTCAGTCTGGTCTTTTAAATTTTGTGGATGAAATGACACTTCTTTTGTGTGACCCTTTTGCTTCACTGTCCCTGAATAGGAACCATATGCTTTAGTATTTTATTCCTCAGAAATGTTTTGACATGAGCTGTGAGGAAGCAGTAATGTTCTCATGCTAATAAAAAGCTTAGCAGTATTGTCTGGAGACAGCATTTCGCAAGTTACGTGTCTTTTCTAAAATAAAAGGGATTGAGAGGGGTCTTCTGCTGCTATTACTGCTGCTTGTAACCAAACACGCTTTCATCCAGCTTTGCATGATTATAAAGAAAGATTCACTTTGGTTTATTGAAATAATTATCTTTCTTTTAATAGGTTCCAGTCACATCATACTTTTCTTAGCATCTTTGTTTACGAGTGGGAATGTTGGGGTGGGGGAGGTGGGGGAGAGATGAGGTAAATGGTAAATAGAATTTCTTGCTGTGTAATGTAAGAAGATACTTGTATGTCTTGGTGAGAAGAAAAGGGTCTTGTTAGACTAAACAAGAAGTAAGAGTGTTTGTATTTAAAAATGGATGCAGGAAGTTAAAGCGTGTAAAGCATTCTTGATTTTAATGATAGCCTTTGAAGCCTAATTTTTTTTCTAAGAAGGCCGGAGACTTTACCACTGAAGAAAGACTGCCGTAACATGAACTACGGTATTTTTATGCTTCTTAGAAGGCTTAACAAATCAAGTTAGAACTATATAAAACAACAGAATAGTCTCACGTTGCATTGCTGAGAGAGGCCTGACCATGATCTGCTTTGGAGAAGGCTAAATGTTGTTTATAAGCTGATACACAATAATCGTAATTTTGAGGCAAAACTTCCTAAAAAGTGAAAATAGGTTTAAAAGAAATTGAGTAATAAAACCTTCCTATGAAGTTCATTTTTGCTTTACATTTCAGAAAGGTGAAGTTGGATCAGGCTTATGTTTCTTCTATGCAGGGGAAGCAATGCTGAATTAAGGCTTTCCGACTGGTTTGCTTGCCATAACAAAGTATTCTGCAGTGCTGTGCTACCAGTCAGTATGAAAGGATGGGGTTCTACACAAATATTGTAATCTCTGAGATCTTTACCACCTCATTCCACGAAAGAAATTTAAACACATTTCCTTGGTGGCACACTGAGCTGGACAAACTGCCAGTGTAGCAGTAAGTGGTTTTAGCTGTTAGAGAGGCTTTGCAGTTTTCTCACACACACACAAAAAAAGTAAAAATTCAGACTTCACAGCTTTTATAAAGCAAAGCAAAATTCTTATAGCCTGAATGTCTTTTTTTCTTTTTTTTTTCTTTTCGTGTAACTGTAGTTAAACTTTATGGGTTTTTCCCATTGAAACAAGATATCAAGCTCCGTTTTCGATTTTGAAACTTAAATGCTGTTTAATACTGAAACAATAACTTGTTATAACTTGTTTCAAGTACATGGAGTTTAGAAAAAGGATTGGAATAAGATTTAAGAAAACAAGAAGTCTTCATGTATAGCCCTAATCTATAATCTATAAACCCTGGGACTGAAAACAAGGATTTAAGAAAGAAGCTTGACAAGCTTTAAAATCCCATTCCAAAGCACAAAGCTTCTTGTACAACGTGAAATGTTTCAGATGTTAAATTTCTATTATTATATTTTTCTCGAAAATCTTGATGCTGAGATTAAAGCAAATATGATGTGGAAGTACCTAAGTAGGTTTGCTGGAAATGCAGGGAGGATTGAGCTCTCAGAGAACTAGGAATTAGGTTACTCTCCAGCAGAAGCCATAGTCACATTGTTTGAAGAGCCAGCTACATACAACAGAAGCCTTTTGCCTCTTGTTGGAGCATTGTTGCTGGCCGAGGAAGTAACCTAATTATGAAGCTTACCAAACACGTGCCAGAAAAGTTTTTGAACTTGCTCAGATCTTGCCTCAAACTAGGACAGAAGAGTCTAAAAGCCTTTTTCTTTCTCTTTTTTAAAATTAAATGATGATAATAACTATACCCACATATAGTAGGAGGATGGGTACTATTAGCTGTGGACAAAACAAATTAGCCATTGGGCAAGGCCTAATTCTTCTTTGTTGATAGACATAGTTTTTGATATTATCTGGATAAAAGTAATCTGATAAAAGTAATGCGGAGGAAGAGCAAATCAAGTTCAGTTGTCAGATGTCAGTTTATTGTCAGATTCCACTATGCTGTATTTAACAAGAAGGTTATTGGCAGATAATCAGGAATTTTTAGGCAGGTGGAAAACAGGTGAATCAGCAAATGAGGGTTTGTTTTGGTGGTCTGTGTGCATCTCTGTATTCATGTAACTTGAATGCTTATTGTGTGTTCTGATTGGTTTGGGTTGTTTTTTTTTGGTTGTTCCTTTTTTCATTAATAGATACTGAAGGTGTAAATGGAAGAGAGGAATCTGTGAACCTTAATGATGCTGATGAAGGATTTTCATCAGGAGCATCTCTCAGCAGCCAGCCAGTTGGGACCAAACCTCAATCATCTGTATCCCAGAAGGGCAGCTTAAGAAAAACAGCAAGTGGACGTTCTGCTAAGGATAAAGAAACCTCTTCTGCAGCAAGATCCAATGACAGCCCTCGAGATTCAGTAGCTCGGAAGCAGTACGTGCACCAATCCACTGACCTTGGTGCAGATATAATTGAGATGACACCTACTAAGAAACACCTCAGCCTGCCTGCTGGGCAAGTGGTGCCAAAAGCCAACAGTTTGAGTTTGATCAGGACTGCCAGTGCTTCCTCCAGTAAATCGTTTGACTATGTGAATGGTAGTCAAGCAGGCTCCAGTGTTGGAGTTGGTACAGAGGGTGTTACCAATCTAGCAGCTGGCAACACCAATCGGTTTTCAACTATCAGCCTACAGGAGGACCGGCTAGGCCACGCTGGGGATGGTAAAGATCTTCTTCCTCCAGGAGCTCCCCTAACCAAACAGTCTCGATCTCCAAGTTTCAATATGCAGCTGATATCCCAGGTGTAACATTTAACTCCCTTTGTTAGGACTCCCTCTTTGCCCTAGGCAAGTTCATTCTTAGGCAGAACAAGAACCATCATCCTGCAGTGTGAAAATACTGACTGTTGTGATCTTGTTTGATTTGGTTTAGCTATCATACTGTATTCCTGAAACAGCAATAATTCTTCCTTCACCTTCATTCTGCCCCCTTGTAAACATGGTTGTGAAGCAGTATATAATGTACTGTATGCCTTTTTCCATGCCTTCCTTTCTCCTTGGGTGATGTGCAATCCATCGTAGGCTGATCAGTCCCATTTCAACACTGTGAGACTGGAGACACCGTTGGAAATGGTGAATGTGATCCCTATGAGATGATGCTTTGGCTTTGTTAAGAAATAGAAACGGGTTTGTTTTCTCGGTGTACAGTACTGCAAAGACTACTGGATCATGACTTTTCTTTCTCAGAACCAGGAGTGCCTCAGAGATTCTAATGTGACTTTGGACCTCTCTGAGTCTGTGCAATCAATTCTGGGGAGGGAATTGTCATTGCTGCTCCTGGCTGCTTGCAGCACTTTCATTAAAATGAGGGTGGTTTTTTCTTGCCTGCCCCTAGTCTCTCATCCCAGAAGCTTTTGATGTTCAGCAACTGAGACCTAATTACCAAGTTGTTTTCCTTCAAAGAGAGGATTATAAGTAGATAATGTAGGTTACAATGCACTTCTGATGGCATTGTGGCCATGTGTAATGTTGTATGTCTTCCCCTCCAGGACACAGGGTCATTCTGCATGTAGACTAAAATTTAAACAAGACCATGCTGTTAAAGAAATTGGATTTGTAAGTGGGAGGGAAACGCTGTGTTCCAAGGAACTAATGGCTAGCTCTGCTCCATTTTTGTTGTGGGTGGTGGTGTTGTTTGTTGTTGTTCTTGTGAGGTGGTGATCACTGAGTTGAAAGGTGTGTTTGGGTGAAAGAGTATTTCTCAGGCTGCTTTCTACAGTATCATGGATGTTAGACATCCCCACCCCTTTCAGCTTCTTCCTCAGTGTCCCTAAAGTCAGTCATGGAATCATTTTGAGAATCTTGCAGTCCAAACAGACCATCCTCTTAAGGGACTGTCTCAGGGATAGAGACATATATATATATATATTTTTTTTTTGCTAGAAACACAGAAGCTTTAATGTGAAATGCTTTTCTAGAAACACCATTTACACAAAGGGGTACTGACAGTCCTATTTTTTCCCCAGAAGGATCACAGTTCATTGCCTTGGTATTTATCACCTACTACGTTTTTTATCATTATTTCAGTGGATAGACCCCTACTCTAGAAAATGCAGAACTCATGCCATTGAGCCAAGCCTTGAATGTATATGACTGGTGTGAATGGTGGGCACTGGCTGGTACTTATGCTAGAGAACATTGCTTAGAAGCACACTTCTGATTGTGTAGGAAAATGTTTGTCATCCTATCTCTCTCTCTGTCCTATTGCTAGAGAGAAAAGGAGAAAGTTCATCCTGTATTCTTAAGTAATGTATGATATCCTGGAAGTTTACAAATTGTAAATCCACAGAAAAGAGTTATGATCTTCATGTGAGCACTTTGGTTTCATTGTCACTGTGAAGAGTAAACATAAGCTGTTAGACATAGCAGGTTATCTTTGAATGACAGAAAATCTTTAAGAAATTCAGGACAATAACATGGTGTTACTTTCGTCGTTAGGTTTTATAATGTTTTTTTTATTTTTTTCCTTTGAGCCTCTATTCCAAACAGAACTTTCAAATTTACTTTAAAACTCATTTAAATATTTGAAATCTTTTTGTAACTTGATAAATCACTTTGTCTTCAAATCAATCATCTAGTCTTCAGATTTTACTTTCATAGAAAAGTGAATTAAATGGCATCTGGACTGATGAAGAAATTCAGTTAAAAAATAGAATCTTCAGAAAGAAAGCCCAGCTGTTTCAGAACTTAGATTAGTCTTTAGGGGTCACTAGAGATAGAGCTAATGCATAGTTGAGATTAAACTGTGGGAGATTTTGTCTGTTTTTTTTAAAAAAAGCTTCTTATGATTAGACTCTTCTTGATTTATTTTGTCAAGTTTTGTGGAGGTGATTGACAGGTTATGGTTTGCTTGGTAGTAGTTTCTTCCCTGAAAGTACAAATCTATATTTTGTAGAGGTAATCACTATGAGAATTCTATTCTATTGAAGTGCCATCGCCGTGAACTGATAAGGACCAAATGATGATTGCTTAAATCTTTGGGACATAAAAGGTCAGGAATGTCAGCTTTTTGAGGAATTACTTTAATATTTCTGCACCTTTAAAACATAGGGTTGCTTGTTAGTAAGGTTCTCTTGTTTCTGCTTTTGCTATTACAAACATTCCCATAGAAGTTTTATGATGTAATTTGGCATTGGGCCAAATTTTAGAAACAAATATTTTATACTCTGAAGACAGGAACTCCATGCAGTTACACTGTTTCAGGAAAGCAAGACAGCCCAGTGACTTCAGATAGGGAAATCAAATGTGCATGCCTCAATTTGAAGTAGTTAAAAGGTCAACTAAACTACAAATCAAGATGTTTTTTGCAGTCCTCATTTTGATGATGTGCCTTTTGTTATAGCTCAGTTCATTTTATTGTGGTTTGTTCGTGTGTGTGTGTGTATGTGGATACACATATACACATAAGAACAAACCATATGTATATATACCTACCCCATTTAGAGCTTTAAAAGGGTTCAATTTCATCTCTACTAAAAAAAAAAACAAAACAAAACAAAACTTTTTGCTGTGTGCTGATGTGCAGCATCTGTAACTTACCAAAATTATCCCGAGTGCATTGTTTCATTAGTGAGAAGCTTTGTCATTTTCCAGACTGATGGATGTTTTAGAAAGTGAGTTGTCACTGTGACCTGCAAACCAGCTACAATAGCAGTCTCTGCCAGTGCTGTGTATCACACTTACCTGTAATCCTCCTTGGTATCTCAGACTATACCAAGGTGTGTGAAGATTGTAGCAAAATCTCATATAGTGACACTCAGTACACTTCAAAGTACTGTGGTGGTAATTAAATAAGAAATGTCCAGGATGTGGACTGAGAGAATAATCTTCTGGTTTTCTGACTGTGTGTTAAATATTAACAAAAAGCATGTTCTAATTTTCTGATACCAGTGACAGATATCTAAACTTAAACCTCTTTATCCTGAATTCACTTGGCTGTGTCATGTTTCGGAACATTTGGTACTTTATATAAGGCACTAGACTGAAATTTCTGCAATATTTCAGTGCAGCTGCATAGTTGAAGAAAGAAGGTTGAAAAGCAGAACACTACATGTGTGCATGCATATGTGTGCAGGTGTTTTTAATGCTTAGGTGAGGAAGTGTGGGTACTATATGTAGATGTCTGTGCACATGTAAGTAGGGTTACATGAATTATCCCTTAATACAGTTTTTACCACGTTACGCTATGTTGCAATTTTACAACTCATTTTTCTTGGGCTTTATAATTTTAACAAGATTGGTAAAATCAGACTTTGATTCTCCTTTTCAGGAGGTTTTTATTATCAGCTTTTTGGTTCAGTGTTGATCCCTTTTGTTTTTCATCCTGCAGGTGGCAAAGTGATGAAGTGAAAGTATCTGTTACAATGAATGTGGCAAGATGAAGTTTTAAGTTGCTTTGTTATTCTTGCTAGTTTTAACTTGGAGACTTTTTATCTCGCTTTCTTATCTTTCACTGTTTGTTTTAAATGCAAATTTCTTTGAATACAACTTTCTGATGTGTTTGAAGAAGTTTTAACATCATACTTCATTCTGTAATGCTGAACATCATGTTGCAGCCAGTAAGCATTAGATGTAGTTATTTGTAGATTGCAAATGTGTTGGTCTCAATTACCTGAATCTAACATTTCCAACACACTCCTGCTAGCTTGAACATAGCTAGTCATCTGTTCTGACAGCAAAATTACGAGGAAAAAAACTGTTTTCTGACAACTTATTTATTTGCACTACTTATGAATACTGGAGTTTACTGGGACAGGGTTTTTTCTCACCATGTGAGGTTTACTTGTGTGTGGGTAGGTACATACATTTGTCACGTGTTGACAATCAATTGCCTCAACTGTGTGTATACTGTATGTAAATATGAACATATTTTTCAAGATTAAGGGGGAAACCTGCACCTTAATGGTGGTAAAGCTGCTCTGAAGAAAGGTGGCCCCGACTTTTACCCCTTTCTGTCTCCAGATAGATGTGGCTTGTTTTACTTCTGTAATGAACATAATTAATTTTCCTGGAAAATTTTAGTTCCAGGGAGATTTTCCTCAATGTTTAATGTATAGCATGTTCAGAGAATTATATTTTCAAAAATTATTTTTGGTGTAGATTATTCTATGCTATGGCTTATTTTAATCTAAATTTTAAATTTGTCCTATTTTATCATGAAACAGTGGCTCTCTTTTAAGTGTTGAAGTGTTTTAATTTCGGTCACAGGCCGGGAATTTTTGTTGGACTTGGCTTACAAATTTAAGTTAATTTGAAGACCAGGTAGTAACCAAGAATAACTTTTTGAGTAAAATTCATGATCAGTACAAACTTGATACTGAACTCGTAATCCTGGAGGAGGTGTGGAAAGCATAATGGAACTTACTTGAATGGAGTGTATGTGCTGCATACAGAACAAAAAGATGTTTCTGTTATTTGTAGATCTATAAGTCTTATCCTTAAATTCTGCAATTCTGTCACTGCCAAAGATATTGTTACCTTGGCATGTTTCATATGGGCTGTTAGCTAGGTCTCATTTGTAACATTCATTTCCATCATTGGAATAGTTTGTACCAGAACTATAAACGTGCTTTTTTTTTTTTTTTTTAAATGGCTTGTTTAGGACTGAACTAAAGTTATAAATTATCAGTCCTTTTCAAGCATCAAAAGTGGAGGGCTAATCCTCTGTACTTGCATTGCATTCTTGGCGTAAATAAAATTGATCAATATTTTGTATTTTCTCCGGTATTTTAAATGCTGCTTATTGCTGATATATGGGCCTTAATTTCTCTTTTTCTTACTAAATTCAGATAAATTTCTCTTAATTTCTTAAACTAGCATTAGTCTGTTTTCCCACTGGCTCTTGAATAAATTTCATTTCAGGAAAGCTGTTCTGTAGGGATTTGGGGGAACAGAACCCAGCATGGATATTGTATTTGTGAATATATACATCAGTCTGTCAAAATCTGCATGTTGTGATCAGCTGAAGAGCTGAAATACCCACCTGCTTCTTAAACAATGATGAACAACAGCAGAGAGCTGTGAGCAACTTGGTTCATCAATAGTTTATGAAGGCAAGCAGTAAATGGATTTTGCAAGACTGATCTGCATAATGATTTCCACTTAGTCATTAAAAAAATTTATTTTAAAATTTAACCAAATCATGGAACAGATTTTCAAAACATAACGGGTAGTCATTTCTGAGAAACTTAGCTTGTGGCAAGTGTCAAGGCCTGCTATCATGTGATACATTAGAAGTTCAAAAGCAAGCTCTAGAAGCCTGAAGGTATCTCACAGCTGCCAGGAATGGATTTAGTAAAAATCTAGTTAAAATTTAGTCTTGTGTTATGTGACTTTATTTGAGATTTTTTTGAAGAAAAAAAAAATCAAAAGTAATTTCCACCTCATTTATTTTCTTTAGAATCAAAAAACCGAACACTTCTGATTTTATTTTAACTGTATTGATCAGATTTTCAGAATAGTTTTAGGGATGAAATGAATTTTAAAATAAGTCCGTAAATTATTTGTTCTGTCATAAAGGATTACTAAGCTACTCCTGTGAGGAGCTGCTGTGTGAGAACACTTGTACAGTAAAACTTTGTGTCTGTACAGTAAAACCTTGGCCTACATTTTAGCTTGTGCACAATGGGGAGAGTTGATAAAGCTGCATTAAGAAGTTATTGGGTTGTGAGCTCCCAGTGTTTTATAGTCCTCACCCTCCCCAGAACTGATCTGGAAACAGAAAAATTAGTATGAATGAAGCAACCTTTTTGAAGAGAGATGGACTTTGTTCAAAAATAGGTGGGACTTGGGAGTGACAAGTACTGGCTTCTGACACTGTCCTTTTTGTTCACGTGGTTCCTGTTGTTGTGCTAGACTTTCATGCTGTTTATGAAAAAATTGAGTATTAGAAACTTTATGGCTTGAAGTATACAGTAGATGTGAGTTAGCAATCACTAACTAGATAAACCACTTCTCAAAGCTTTTTAGTAGATAGTACTGGGGTGTGTCTGTGTGTTTTGTGTGCCAGTGTTTGATGAATACTTTGAAACAAGACTTCTTACTGTTTACTTGCAGAAAGTGCATACTTTTAGGATGGATATAACTGGCTGGTTTATTTATGAAGAAACGATGTACGATTAAATAAAATTGAGTTATTTAACATTTTTTCCATATCGAGGATTCCAGGAAAAAAAAGCTAATAAAGATTTTTTAATAATTAAATCAGATACTCTTAATACATTTTAGATTTACTAGGGTAGCTTTTCTTTGCTATACAAACCTGAATCGAGGTACCCCGTGCTGCATTTTTTAAATTTGTAATTCTTCTATTTTACAACAAATCTTTTGCTCTATACTGTCCTTGTAAGAACGCAGGATACGCCATTGATTTTACTAGCAAAAAGAAATGCTCTGCAAGGGTTAAAAGATTATTTTCCTACTTTTTCTGTCATACCAGGTTTGTTTCTCTGAAATAAGCTTTCTGAGGATTTTTACTACTCTAACATGATGTGCTCTGATCTCTGTCATAGAAGGAGCATAAGCAGCACGTCCCACGTGTGCAGACAGCTGGGCTAGGCCCGAGGGCAGGGATAGGGCCTGTGTGGGCAGGAGGTGCTGGGAGGGACGGAAACACGTGGGTTTCGAGAGGCCGTGAGCTGTGCTGTGTGATGTCCTTTATCGTGGGACCAGGGAAATCCTCATTCTTAGAGCTGAAGATGGCACGGAGCGAAGATCGTGTTATTGATGCATGTAAGCCATTATCTTACTGTCTTACTGAACTGGGTAATGCTGTTGACTGTTGTTGAAATGTGAAACGTAGTTACTGTTGACTCTGTAAATAAATGCCAGAGATGAAATATAATTATTTTAAATCATTGTAAATAGAGATGTATAAAACTCGACACAATCTGCAATGCAGAAAAAAAATTATATATATATATAAATATATAAAGATGTTAAATAAATATTGTGCTGTTTCTGAACAGAACTGGAGCTGCTCGGAGTTGGTTTTGTTTTTATACTTTGAGTGGCGTCGATCAGGGCCCCAGCCTTCCTCAGGCAGCTTCGCGTCGCTACGGCAACCGCTGGCGGCCGCACGCATGGCTGCCAGCGGAAGTCCCGCCCCCTCGTGTCTCCCGCCGACAGGCGGCGGGAAGCGGGGTCCTGGATCGCGGATTGGCTGAGGCGCGCGTCAGTCACAGGCAGGCGGCGGTCCTCACAGCGTGGGCGCCCCGCACCCTCTCAGCGAGGGCGCCTGATTTGGTGGTCGGCCGGCACGCTAACCCACTTCGCGCTCCTGCCACCGACTCAAGGAGCGGTCTGGAGCCCGTGCTGAGCCGCCAGTGGTGAGGGCGAGAAGAGGCAGGCGCCCGAGGCCTAAAGGCCGGACCCGGGCCCTGCGACGGGTGGTCGTTGCCGCTTACCCTCGTGGGCACCTGGCGGCAGCGCCCCCTGGCGGCCGGGCGGCTCCGCCCACGTGTGTGAGGTGGGGGTGCTCGCCGTGCGCACACCATGAGCTTGGCGGAGTGTCGGAGCGGCGGCGCTCTGCAGGTGAAGTTCGTGCCCGACGAAGACGTCCTGAGGCACATCGCTGATGACGCAGGTACGGCCGGGCCGGCGCTCCCCGAGAAGGGGCGGTCGGCCCTTCTCCAGCACTTGCGGCGGCCGCCCGCGAGGTGAGGCCTTCGGCCGCCCTCCCCCAGCCTGTCTGCTCCGCTCTGTGCCTGCGCCCCGCCCGGCGCACGGAACGGGTCGCTGCGGCGCGTGCCCTCAGCTGAGGGTGACGCCAAGTTCTGATGGCAGCTGCCTGGTGGGGGCCTGGCTGCGGGGAACCGCCCGCCCGCCTCTCCGTGGCGCGAACGCACGGACAGAATCAAAGCAGAAGCGGGGCCGGGCCGGGCGCTGCAGGAGCCGCGTGCCGCAGTTCTGGCTCCTTGTAACGTCTGGAATTGCGGTCTGCAGAGATCCTCAGAACGCATCTGCGTCAGGTGCGGAGTACCCGATCCGCGTTGTTGTTCGTCCTGCTCTGAGCGGGAATCAGACAGGTGGTTTACAGAGGTCTCTCAGCCTAAATTTGTCTGTGGGCGTGCTGGCAGTTGGTACCTAGCGCTAATTAGTTTGCGTCCCACCCCTAGGCAAGGCAGGGGATGCTAAACGCACCCTATTTGCATGCAGTTTGGATCTTGTGTGGGTGAGTTGCTGCCGTTTCTTCCCAAAGTGGAAGCAGGTGTGTGCTGAAATGAGGCCCTTGTCTTCCCTTTACCTGCAGTATCAGCTTCCTTACTAAAGGATGGACTGATGCAGCCGACTGCCCTGATACAGACCAGCTATTCCATTAGCAGCAAACCTTTTCTATTTTGCATTTGAACAGCATTTTGCACAACGGTATCTTGGTTTGTGAAGGGGAGCAGCTGCATAGTACTGCAGTGGAAGTAATGAAATAACAGCTTTCATTTTAAAAAAAATCTTTTATTGTAATTGTAGGTGTTAAAGTTCAGAAAGGCAAAAACCAGCTGATAGTCAATACGAAGAGATTTGTAAAGAATCTTGAGGCTGTCTCAGATGATGAAGCTCAGGAAATCCTGGAGGAGAAGAACTATGTTGCTGTCTTAGGCGTATGTGGCGAAGGTACCTGGGGCAAAGGGAACGTACCGCAGATATTACTTTGGGAGATTCTTTTTGTCTCAACAAGTTGCATAGTGTTTATGAAAGTGCTGTTGTGGGCTGGCTAGCTCGAGCTGTGCATGTGGTGACAGAGGGAGAGGATAATGATTTCTAGAATTTGTTTCGTGATACTGATTTCATAGCACCTACAGTGCAAAGAGTCATTTGAGCCCAACAGTAAATCATCACCTTTCCTATTCTATGGGTTGGGAGTATACTTGTACTTCTAAAGCGGTTACAAGTAACATTTCTGTTCACAGAATCAATGACAAATGGCTCGAGTGTAGGTGGTGGTGAAGTTTACACATTCCAGACTCCCAAACGCTCCAACAAAATGGCAGAGCTGGGTACGTTTTCCTCTTTCTTCTTCCATGTTGCTCTGGCTATGATCTTTTTGTGTATCCCTGTTAATGTGATCTGTATCTTCTTTTCATTCAAGTTATGTGTTTGTTACTATTCCAGTAGCTTTTATCCAGCTCTGAATTGGTTTTCCTCAGAAACAGAAGCTCAGCACTAGGGCAAAGCAAAGGCATGGTGGGAATAAGAGATACTTAAAATAAATGTGTAAAAACTGGAAGTCTGTTAATGCTGTGTGAAGAGCTTATGTGTATGTGCCCAAGGATGGCAGGACTTTTATTTTCATATCTTCAAAGGATATGTGAGAATAACTAGTTATGTAACAAAGAGTTTAAACCAACAAACAAGCAACCCAAAGGGCAGTGTTAGCTTTGTGGAAGGGGATTTCTCCTGCACAAAGTGTCTGTCAGTGTACTTGCTAGGCTAGTTGTTAGAAGAAACAAGCTGTGCTGAAGAGTGGGCTCTTCTGGCCCAAATAAGATGCTTGGACCATCGTGCCACTACATTTCTTCTTTTCAAGTGAAGAGTCCTTTGTTTGCCCAATACCACTTGAACTCCAGTGGTGTGTGGTTTCCACAGCTACTGTTGTACTCTGCAGAGGAGGAGGAATTTCCTTCCATACCGTGATACAGAATCTGTTGTTTCCATCTCTCTTTATCTTCCTCTGGGCTTCTGCTGTGTGAAAGGAAAGTTTGTTTCTCGCACCTCTGCAGCAGTGTGCATTTCCCTGGTTCCTTCAGTTTGAAAACTGCTTCCCAGGGTTCTTCACCAATACCACTGAAAGCTCCTGGTATGTGGTGATGGGTCAATGCCTTCCCTTTTCAGCAGACACCCTGCAGTTGAGCTGTTGATTATTTTAGTCTTGCAGGCTGGAATTGGAACTTGGGGTTGACTAAAGAGATGGATGGGTTTTGAAAATCAGAGATGACTAAACGCTGTCGAAACTGAGCTTAGACAGATATGAAGATAAGCAATAGTAACTTGTTAGGCAAGTAGTACAGTAAGAGGCTGTATTTGTTGGTGATCTCTTAGGTGGGGCGTTCCATATTCAGGTCAATGATTCAACTTCAGCTTGAGCTGATAAGTAGTTGAAAGAGGTAAGCAGAATACAAGAACCTGCCTCCTGGGGGACTGATGTGTTTGTTTTACCTGCTGCTCCAGTGCGTTCAGTCACTCAGTGTTAAAGAACTGAGTGGGCATAACAGAGCATTTCTCTAATTTTGAAGATATACAGTACCCTAGGGAGCAAAGCTTGTCCTGTCGTTGTCTAAGCAGAACTTTGAAATGAATTAACTCAGGAATTCGGGTTTTGAAAATTTTTGTCTAGTGTTACATTAATCTCTAGGGTTAGGAAAAATAATAAAAAATAAAGCATCTTAGGCACTTTCTGAAATAGATAGGAAATTAAAATTTAGACTTTTTTGTGGTGTATGACTTCACTGCTGACAAATCCAAGTTGGAAGTTTTCTATCTGACATGAAATTTCTTTTCCTTCTATGTCCTATAGCCTCTGAATTAGCACAGACACCGGGACAGAGTGTTGTACCTGATCCTTCTGAGTGCCCTGAGAAAACAGCCAGAACCCCTCAAAGCAGCAGTAAGTATATGATGCTATGAGGAACTGAAGCTGAGTGAACAGGTTCCTCTCTGTGTTGTTCCTCATCTTTGCAGATGCTCAAGTATTCTGGTCAGTTTAACGTTGTAGGCTGAATTTGCATGGCCTTTTGATCACTTGTCTGCTGCATCTTATGTTCTGTCCTGCTGGTGCAGAGAAAATGAACTTCTCACTCATCTGTTGCTGTCACACATGACAATTCATGTTCAACACAGATGATTGGACTTGAATTAATGAGCTGGACTGATGTGTTGAGCACCAAATGAGTTGTGAGTGGGATTGTGTGCATGTTCATGTGCAACTTCTGTTGTGGCTTAACTTGGCAGGCCTCTAAGGCACTACACATCCATTTGTTTGCTCCCCCTCAGTGGGATGGGGAAGAGAAGCTAAAACCTGTGGGCTGTGTTAAAGACAATTAGGATAGAAAAATAAGGGAAAAAAATAATGAGGATGATGATGATAAAAGAATATACAGACTAAGTGATGCCCAGTGCAATTACTTGCACCTGCTGACCAATGCCCACCCCAGCCATCTCTTCCCTCTGCCCAAGCTTTATTATCTGGCATGGCATCATGTGGTATGGAATATCCCTGTGGCCTGTTTGGATCAGCTGTACTGGTACTGTTTCCTCCTTGTGTGCTCCTTGCTGGCAATGTCGTGTGAGAAGCTAAGAAGTCTTTAGTGTAAGCACTGCTCAGCAACAGCCAAAACATCAGTGTGCTGTCCACATTATTTTCATCTTAAATCAAGAGCATGGTGCCATACCAGCTACTAGGAAGAAAGCTAATCATCTCAACTGAAAACAGGGCACTTCATAATTTATTATAGTTTTCTCCCTGCCATTATTGAGGGCTTTAAATGAAGGTGGAAAAAGTCAGGGCAGGTGAAGATTGGCAAGAGTGTGTTGCTTTGTGCTCACAGTCTGCCCTCAGCACTGGGGCATTTAGTTCCTTTTTCAGTGTCTGTCAGTCCCCTCCTGCCGAGGGCCTCCCACAGCTGTGACTAAATTAAGAGCTGCCTTCTGTGATAATAACATTCACTGTCTTTGTTCTCTCATTGCTTGCCTGTGGGGAGCTAATAACTTCCCCTGTACTGCTCAGGGAGCTGATACTGTGGTGTAGCGTACCTTTGAACAGTGTTTCTCTAATAGAGCATCTTGTGCCTCTGAAAATATGCAGTACTCTGAACTATGCTGTTTCTTGCCTTGCAGAACGTTCAAGTTCAAACAAAGTTCAGCAGAAGGTGAGTGTTGATATTCTGTTGATTTATTATTATATTCCTTCTCAACACTTTTAAAACTTGAGCTGACAAATTGCTGCAGTTCTGGAAATCCTCACCCACCTTATAGATGTCTCC